AATAAGACTATACTTGATAGGAAAACATGCCCCAATTGATTAAGTTCGTAGAGTAGGCTATTTGTGAAGGATTTGAATACTTTATAAGAATTTATATGTTTTATCCCCATGCTCTCATTGTGATTAAATGTAACATGCTGAATAATTATATTATTTTCTCTGATGAGTGTGTTAGTTACCCTTTCATTATGTTCCATTTTAATATGAATTAGCCTGATACGTGAGAAGTGATAACAAATGAGGTACTTTGCGCTGTTGCCCCTTCTGTAGTTCTCTCTCTTGGGTGTGAATGGGGAGGTAGATCTGGGACGGGGGTTTGCACTTTCCATTTCATTTTAGTCAGGCAACGTAGTTGATTTTTTTTTTTACTTTCTTAGCTTGAGTGTCAGCTACATATGATTCCGCTGTGTGCTGTCTGAGTTATACCTATGTTGAATATCCCATTGTGAAGTGGAATTTGGGATAAATTATATAATTTAGTATAAATCGAAATAGATATGACAGGGTATACGAGAATGCCAAATAACTTCTTTAAAACTATATTCATTCATGGAAAAAAGCTAGTACTCCGGAATTACTCTCAAAGGCACAATTAATAAATAAAATGAGGTTAAATGAAATTTTTATCCCTATAAATTTTAGATTTATGGTTTTTACTCCCTATAAAATGTTTTGTCCGTTTTCAGTCCAATGTTTATTTTTATTTGTTATTATTAGTCCCTGGGAGCGACTAAAAGTGGGCAACAATATAGCAAAAATTACAACACACTAGGACTAAAGATGATTAATAAAATAATCGTGAGGCTAAAAATGAGCAAAAAAGTTATGAAGACTGAAACTATAAATCTAAATTTTTATAGGGATCTAAAACTTGTTTACCCCAAGATAATATAATAACTTCAAGCTTTTAGTAAAACATATCTTAATATCTGACACTATAGTACTGAAATGTGACCATACCAGAAACAGAACTTAGAGAAAATAAAACATTATGTCTGACAAATTTTATGTTAAAGACTTCACTTCAAATAAACATGAAATGTTTAAAGAAATAAATCTGGTTAGCAAAGTACTGAGTTGCTTAATACTTTAAACATCAAACAAAAAGATGGAGAACGAAGTGTCAGAAACTGCTTCCTTAGAATCTGTAAGGAAGTTAAAGTTAGGTGAATTTCTTTGGGAAGATCCAATTTGGATCTGTCCTGATCTGACTGGGGGGTGTCATTTTGTAGCCTATTCGGATAATAGTAACGGAATTCATCCCGAAATGTCTAAATCACAGATTTGAGTGAAGGCCACCATAATTTTTGGAGTTTTCTGCTTAAGCTGTTGTCTTATCTGTGTAGGCTTTGTATTATCTAGGGTTAATCTATATCCAGCTAAATATGAGAGAAAAAAAAACCCAATAATCATGAGTTCATGCTGCACCCATCGTACAGATATGATGCCAAAACTGGCACGTGTGTTGGTTGTATGGTATCCCTAGAAGCACAAATGTGATGGGATTCATATTCATATACTCAGGCAATGTATGCTCTGCATTAACTGGATGATATTTATGATTCGATTGTTAAAATGAATTTTATTTTTTAGGTTGCTGTAAATACTGTATTACAAGACGAAAGGGAGTTCCTGACACACATTATCAAGTCTACAAATATGAAGTGCCTGACTCCACCGTAAGTTCTCTGACTCATTGAGGTCCTTTTGTAGACACTAAGGTGTAGCACACCCAAAGAGGTAAATGAACATGTATGAAAATTTCAAAACATTTTTCTAAAAAATCTGTAAATTAATTAGGGTCTATTTTTTTAGCTTCTAAACCTTCTAGGGTTTCTATTTTCAGTCCCTGAACATTTTTTAAACATGTCAACTGCCCTTAACTTTTTCCATCCTTACTTTTAGTCCCTTAACTTTTTTCTAAGAACGAAAAAGAAACTACAGGACTAAAGTCCAAACAAATTCAAGGATTGAACAGATCAGCATTTGAAAAACTTTTTCTGTCAAGCTTGACTGTTTATGATATCAAACTATCAATTGCCACAAAATCCTTTTGAATAAGAAATAATTATTTGGATTTACTATTCTTTCATGACTAGATTTTTTTCAGAAATTCTAAAAAAGATGGTCTATCCAATTAATTATTTCTTATTAAAAAAGTGTTTCTGGTAATTGATAGTTTGATTGCAGGAACAGTCAAGCTTGACAGAATTTGTTTTTCAAATGCTGATCTTTTCTGCATCTTCATTTTGTTGCACCACTTCTTTTCTGAATCTTACCTTTACTTGCTATTGGTTTTTGTTTATTATTATTATTATTTCACAGTAGAGATGTCTTTTGACAAATAATATACCATCATTGTAATAAATTGAAGGCATAAATAATTGTGAGACAATATTATTTCAATATTTCATGTTACTAATCATTAGTGTCCGACGTTGCTATTTATTTGTTGATTTGATGGAACCGATTCCATATAATAATTTGATTTTCATGGCCTGTTGTTTAGATCGGCTTTGGAAGGGGAGTGTGGTTTCCTTGCTGCAAACCTTTATGCTAAAAGTGTTTTTGGGGAAGATGCTTTGGTGAATGTGAGCATTGAGAAGCAAGCAGATGGTAAGTTGAGCGGATACATCAGAATAAGAAGTAAAACTCAGGGAATTGCCCTCAGTCTTGGGGATAAGATAACTTTGAAACAGAAGGGAACCGCTTGAGAGGAGCAAATGCCCCGTTGCCTTGTATGTCTTATCAACTTTGTGTAGCTTCCGGTCGCAGCTCACTTCAACCCCCCTGCGCTCTTGTTAGTATTTTTTTTTCCCCTTTTGAATTTCCAATTTTGTCTGTATTCTTTCCTTGGATATCGCTCAACAAAAATCCTTATTACCCATCTTTTATTTTTCTACACAATGGGGACGGACACCCTATATTCATGTCAGAATCAATCTAGTGACTATTTTAATACTAAATTGTGCGCATGTCGTCGGATAATAACATTAATAGTAAATTGTAGTTATCGCGTGAATGCTTTCAGCCTTAGTCATCATTTTTATCATTTTTTTGTTTGTTTTGAACATTTTGTTCACATGTTCATCTTTTGATCCCTTTAGAAACTTCAAAAGGCCCCATAATTCTATTCCTAGTACAGAAATGTACAACAGTACGAATGACTTAGAACTTAAACTTGTCATCGGTCGCAAACCATAATTCATAAGCTATGACTGTCTCTAAAGAAACAAGCGTTCGACGGATATGACTGTTTCACGCAGTCATGTGGTTGGAGGTTCGTCTCTGGAGTTTATTGTATAGCACAAATCTGCAGTTGATGTTCAGGGGAATAAAGATAAGAATGGTATATTATATCATTGAAAATCACTAACATACTTTTTATTGTCTTACTAAAGGCAACCGTCATTGATCCTGTGAGGTTCATAGATATCAGTGGAACTTAATCAGAATGTTATTATCTTTTTCTTTTTTTTTTAATCTTTTTCTTTTTCTTCTGTATCGGTCATATTCTTTGTATTGTTTCATTTTGTTCCTCATATAATATTATTATTTTTGGTCCGCATCTTCAACTATCTCAATTAATTAAACTTAATGGTTATGATGTTATCACAAGCTACATTAACAAAATTATTAAAATCACCAATGTATTGTAAATGTAACATCTGTATTTGAATTTTTTACTTTTTGGGACATCCATGAATATTTAACTTAAATTGCGTGGCATGTATTTTTTTTTTTAATTTAATTATATTTGTTGGACATCTTATTTATTACCATTGAAAATTAACTTTAAATATGTAAGTATATGTTGGAATAATGATACAAATTAATAATAAATTTATTATTTTCAACTAATTTAACTAAATTTTAAACAGTATAAATTAGTTGAAATAATCTTATAAATGGAAATGCAAGGAAGAAGTAAATTATAGCAGTTGAACAAATTTATTCGATTCAGTCTGAGCAATCACGTTTGAAGATGTAAGTACTGGATTAAATCCAATACCCAAACCGGCCTAACTGCCAGTTCAAATTTTAGTTCAATTGGTCAGGTTGAATTAAGCTAAGGATAATAGATCCTGTATCAATTTATTTTAATTTGTTAAGGATAAATGATTAATTTAGTTGTTAAATGAGTGAGATATTATTAATTTATTTTAATCCCTGAATAAAAGAAATTCTGTAATTATATATTGTTATTATGATTTGTGAGACTATTTATCATTAACATATCTTTTTAAGAATTAATTTCACAATAAATTAGAGATTATATTTTGTTATTGAAGTATGATATTACAGATTTTTTGAATTTTTACACTGAGACTAAATTAAATTTTTATTTTTCAAGAATTAATTTAACCGCATTTTACACTTTCGAAGATCAATTAATCATTTACCCACTTTAAAAGATGTACTTATATTAACAATAAATTAATCGCTTAACCATTTGAAAAAGAGTTTTGTATCTATGTTAATCAAACTAGTGTACGTGTAAAATAATAACAACTTGGTTACATTGTTTGCATCATTGCGACATTTGCTTCCAGATTACAAGAGAAATTAAGGAGACGATGGGAATTGCGTGCAGCGAAAATCAGAATTTGGTTGATTGTTGAGGCAGTTGAATGAAGAGTTAGACTAGCTGGTCTTGGTCGTCAAATGAAACAACAAAGCTAGGATTGACTACCGCATATGACAAATGCGGAATGAATAAGAAACAATGGCTTGAGAAATTAGGTGTGGATATGGTACCCTAATTCAACGAAGTTCTACCACCTGGTGGTTGACATTACTGAGATATTTGTATTGTAAGTGAAGTTTGCCTTAGCTCCCTTTTACTTTGTTTGTTGAGTTTGGTGAGGGAATGTAAGTGGGGCGATGAACAAGAAACCAACAAATATTATCTTTTCCATAGGACCAAACTTTATGTGTAACTGTAAATCTAAAAGCCAAACTAGTAATCATTTCGAATCAGCACTTGATTTGCCATTGATATGGAAAACAAGGAGAATCTTGAAGCAGCCAGAAAGTGCTTGACAACTAGTTTGGAAACATCAAGCGCCATAGCCGCTGCACTAGATGAATCTGGGTCAAGATTGGAGCTACTTAACCAGAGATATCTGTCCTTGGAAGCTTCCCTTAGACCCATCTCAATGCAAAAGTGCTCATTTGTCAACATTGAGGACAGTATAGACAGTGTTCTATGTTCTGCTGTTGCACTTCTTAAGGTTCTTGACTGTGTTCATCAGCTGGAGCATTCTCTCTTAACTACAGATCCAACTTCTGATCTAAACACATATGTCTCAGATACAAAGAAGCTTGAGGAAGCACTGAGGCTTCTCACTGATAATTGCAGGTTAGCAGTTAGTTGGTTAAGGGACGTTTACGAGTTCTTACAAGACAAAGCAATCACCAATGAGCTTTACCTGTTGAATGTGAAGAAATCTTTGAGAATATTGCAAGAACTGCAGGTCAAGGAGGAAGGTGCTCGTCTTGATGGAGGCCTTCTTTGTACAGCTTTCGACAAACTAGAGATCGAGTTCCACAGGCTTCTGACAGCAAACTCCGTGCCTTTTCCTTTGGTTTCATTGACATCACCACACACTGGGCATGAAGCCAGTATTGCCAAACATAATTTGCCACTGACAAGTTCTTTAACAGGGAAGTTGCATTCCATCATAGAGAGATTAAATGCTAATGGCAGGCTAGACAAGTGTCACTCCATATATGTTGAAGTTCGAGGTATTAATGTTCGTCGAAGTTTGAAGACTTTAGATTTGAGTTATCTCGATATTCCAACTACTAAACTTGAGGCTGTCCACTGTATAGAGAGTTACATAGACCAATGGGGCTTCCATTTGGAGTTGGTTGTGAAGCAACTGCTCGGTATTGAGTGCAGGCTTTTCACTTTGGTCTTTGAGAAAATTGGTCCAGAAGCATGCATGGAGTGCTTTGCAAAGATTGCCATCGAATCAGGAATTCTTTCTTTTATTCGATTTGGAAGGATTGTTACCGAGAGGAAAAATGACCCCTTCAAATTGTTGAACCTGCTGTCCATATTCAGGGTTTTAAATGATCTGAGGCTAAAATTCAACCAACTTTTCAGTGCGAAAGCTTGTAAAGAAATTAGAACTGTGACAGAGGATCTTATAAAAAAGGTTGTCAATGGTGCCAGTGAGATATTCTGGCAACTTCCAGCACAAGTGAAGTTGCAAAGGCCAACTTCTCCTCCCCCTGATGGCAGCGTTCCCAGGCTGGTAAGCTTTGTGACTGATTATTGTAATCAGCTGCTTGGGGATGCCTACAGGCCACATTTGACGCTGGTTTTGGAAATACATCTTAGTTGGAGAAAGGAAGCGTACGAAGAGGGCATTGTTTTATGCCAAATATATAACACAATTAAGGAAGTTGCAGTTAATTTGGATGCTTGGTCGAAGGCCTATGAAGATATCACATTGTCCTACCTTTTTATGATGAATAATCACTGTCATTTCTGCAATTTGAGGGCTACTGTGCTTGGAAATATGATGGGAGATTCTTGGTTAAGAGCACACGAACAATATAGGGACTATTATGCAGCACTTTATTTGAGGAACAGCTGGGGAAAGCTTCTATCTATTCTTGTAGTTCAAAAGAACATATTTCCCCCCTCCAGTGCAAGTGTGACATGCCAAGACTTGGCAAAGAGACTAAATGCTTTCAATCTAGCTTTTGAGGAAAGGTACAAGAAGCAATCTAATTGGGTAATCTCCGATGAGATCTTGAGGGAAAATGTATGCAAGCATTTGGCCGAAGGTATTATACCAATCTATAGGGCCTACGTCAAGAACTATTGTTTGTCAACTGAAAATGATGCTAAGGTTAACAAACTTATGAAATATTCAGCGCAGAGTTTAGAGAACAAGATTAGATCTCTGTTTCAGACCAAGCAGAAGAAGGGTAGTAGCATTAAACAGGCAGACTTGATTAGTAAAATAAAAGATCTCAGTCATCAATTTCGCTTAACTCTAGCTCTTCTATGATTTCTTTTCCTTGTAGAAGGAATGTTACTGTACTCGATTGTAATGTGTGCGTAAAGTTTCAAATCGTTTGCAAGTTGGCCAATACTGTTAATTGTATGTTATCACAGTTACAGCTTAATTAGTTAGTTTTAATAAAAATCACTGACTTTGATAAATATATATCTTTTGGCTTTCCAAATTTAACTGTTCCATTAAAAAAAAAAAAGACATATTTATGTACTAACATGAATAAATGCCTCTCAAGGAATTATATATAAATTTATATAGTTATCATATGTCTGTATACTACTAGTTAAATAAATTCACATTTATAGATGTATGAGTATGCAAACACCTATTTTAGTCCATTCGACCAGATTTGATTACAAAATCATTGCCTATTTGAGTATATTCAACCAGAGTTTTAAAACACAAAATGGTAGATGTAATGGAACAGGATATCGAATGAAGGTGTATAAACATGGTCATATTATTCTTGGAAAAAAAGAGAGGCTAGGATGGATGATGTTTGACAAAGATTGAGGAATTGGTATGTGGGTTACAGAAAAGGAGGTTTGACTGGCTTCAACTCTTTAACCTTTGCAAAGTGTGGATGTTGGAGGTTTCTTTCAACCTCCCAAGCGAGTTGTGACATACAATTGAATGTGGACTTGGCACCTTTTTCATCAGTGACTTCTCTAGGGAACGGAATGCGGACCTCAAACACGCCTTTGAGAGGGGAAGACAACCGCATGTCAAAGCCCAAGCGATCAACCCATATCATCTTTGCCTCCGAAACCTTCCAAATACATTCAAAGTCAACACAAGTAATGCGTTTTGGTTTTGGATGACATTAAAAGATAAACAGACATGGATAGAGTAGTGTTAGTTATGCACACCAGGAAATCCAAATCAACATAGACATTGCAGAAGCGAGTAATGTCTTCCATGTTGTTGGTGTTGATCTCAGTGACTAAGTTGTAGGCAGAGTCTCGAAGAGGGTCTGGTTGAGCATTTCTGTAATCTGAAGAGGTTACCCAAACACCATCCTGTAATTGCAATGCAACCCATCATTCACGAGCATAGGCATAAGAGGCAAGACTTCTTCGTAAGCGATTTTAAGATAGAAAAACAAAAAGGCTTTTAGAAGAGTTTACCGAGAGAGTTTACCCACAGAATTAGGTTAGATTAGGATTAGGTTAGGCCAAAGAGTTCTACCTCCTGAATGTCTTCCAATTGCAGTACCCGATCCACAGCAATAATGTAAATAGAATTTTGATCCACTTCTTCTCCAAATCTCTTCCTCCACACAGAAACAAAAGGCTGCAACATACATGCACACACAATGATGAAGTTTGATTGATGATTATGATCCCGATTTAATTTGATAGAAAACTCAACTAACACTAACTAGTTACAGTTACCTTAGGATTCTGTGGTTTGGTAAGAGTTCCTTGAACAGTGCATTGAGGAGTGCGCAATCCATTTTGTTCAAACTGACAAAAAAAAACAAACATCAATAAACTCGAATTGATAAATTAACAGTGAGAGAGAGAGAGAGGGAAAAGAAGGTACCTGAACATGCAGAGAAGAAGGGATATTAGTGTTGTCAGTGGAATTGAAGCAGAACAAGGGAGTGCCATGTTCAGGTTCAACCGCAAATCGAACCCCAGTACCCAGAGGCAAACCCTCTTCGGTCAACGTACATAGCGTCCCCACCTTAGCCAACTCCATTAGGGTTCTCGATACCTCCGCCGGAAACGGCTTCGTTTTGATCTCACTCTTCACTTCCAATTGGGCCGTCGACGACGCTGCCACCGAGCAATTTGGGCCCCCATTCCTCCTTCTCAACCAAACAGAGCCACTTCTCTTGGTTGCGCTTGCGGGTGCAAGTGTCAACCGTGGACACGCTGCACCGAATTGCCTCGTTTGAATTTGAAGCAGCATTTCTTCAGGTAGATCGCACCCACTCTCAAGGCTCAAGTAAAAAGCAAGTAAAAGGGATAAGAAGAAAGAACCACAATATGTCGTTTTTCTATCATAGTAACTAAACGACACTTCGTTTTGGTGCTTCTTTTTTTCTTATTTATCCACACTCCCCAGACGCAGCGTGCGAATTTTTTTACTTTGATGGCAGGAACAGCGACGACACTCACAGTGACAGCACCGAGATGGCGGTGGCAGCATCATCACCGTTCGATTCCTGTTTCATTTTTCCGGCGAAGGCATCCACGGCTAAGAGGTGCGTGCGTGCGTTACTTGACAGATTTACCCTTAACCTTAAATTTTAAACTGAAATTAATTGTGTGGAATTAATATGGATTGGATTTGTAGGTTTGGAGTTTTACAGAAATGGGGTTGTAGATTCTACTTGTGGTGCTGTTTCTCGAAGCAATGAAGTGAATGTGTCACCTTGGGATGATAAACCCTTTCGAATTCTTCCAAGTGGTAAAAAGGCTTACTTGGATGAACAGGACGTGGTGACATTTCTTGATCCTCCTAAGGGCTTGATTCCTTTGGACCCATCTTCCTATAATCCCGCTGCATACCTATGGTAACTCATGCATGCATACATGCATGCTACAACTCAAGTTCTTATTCTTTCTCACTTACACACCCACTCTCTATGATCAGGAAAAAGATTGAAGATATTCCTGAGGAAAGGCGACATCGACTTCTGCGATTGTTAGAACCAAGGTATTTTGAGTCCTTTTTTCCTCTGCTTTCTAAATGTTTTTGTTCTACATTCATATAGTCTTGCACTGGAAATTTTTGCGCAGACTTGTTTCAATGGCTTGGCAGATAGCCGGTACACGGTATGAGGATCCCAACTTAATGAAGAAAAGTGCATCTACATTGTTGTCCAGCTCTGACAGAGATGATGTTGTTCTTGAATATTATAACTGCAGAACAAGTGGAGGTTAGTGACCGGATTTGTTCCTCGTTGTTGCTGGGATTAGTCTTGGTCAATTTAAATATATATAATCAAGGCATTCGTTTTCCTACTGCCCCCATTCTTTTCTGACGTCCACATGAAGGAATGGACTACTTTGCTTCCTAATACCATGTACTCTTCAATCCCAGTGCTCAAATATGTATAAGATTTTTCCTACTTCGCTTTACTGGATTTAAAAATAAAAACTTTTCATTTGAATTAGGAAATGCGTCTTTTCCTGCAAATTTGACCCTTCTTTCTTTCATGTTCCAATATTTCTGCTGCCCTCAATGTGTCTTTTGTGTTAAAATTATTTATCATGGTTTCGTGTGTATTATCAACATCCAATGCTTAGTATTTCACTTTTAATACGTTCAACTTTGAAAATTAATATTATCAATGTTCAACTTTGTTACATAGGACCAATGCCAATTTCCTGGATAAATTCCTTTAGAAAGGTAAGTTCATCATCTCCCTTTTTTCCTTTTTGCTCTAGTGCACTGAGTACTTACTGCTTACATTTGAAGAGTTGACTCTTTTTCTACTTTTTAAGGCTGTATTTACTTGCAAGGATGGGCAGGCCTACGGACGAATCATAAGTAAGTTTCTTCATTTTTGGCATAGAAATGCATGGATACGTTTACACAATTACCCATTTTTGTGAAATATGCCCGTCAAGGTTGCATTGTTAGTCTAATTGTGAATGCCACTTTGAAGTCCAATTACATAACATGTTGGTAAAAGAAAAATTCAACTGTGTATTTATACGCTTGTCTTGAATACTACCACATACCTTTCCAAATTCCTGTAATATTGAAAGATATTGAAAAAACAATAGTAACAACTTAAAGTCTATAATCACTAGCCTGCCCATATACATAAGACTTGAATTTGATCCATAATATTGAATTTATACTCTTTTTTCTTTACACCAAGGGGTGAAACCTTGAAAATAATATATGATTGTCCATCAATTGAAAGACAAATAATATACACTGTCAATTGTCATAATTAGTTTACATCTTTGCATGATTAGTGGCCACTAAATCATGGTGTGAGTCCTTATACTTCAATAATCTATATAGAATCATGGTTATTAAACTTGTGTGCCAAATTGCTAACTTAAACAAGTTTACAAGTCAAGTGAGTGGCCACAAGTTAACTCATCAATACACTCGGTTTCGGTGTTTTAGTAGACTTGAGGGATGGAGCATACTCAGTCAAACACTAGCTAACTCATAAGTTTACCACCGAGTCATGAGTCTGATGGAGGGAGATGACTTACCTTAAAATGATAGTGTTAAGTGTCCTTTTTCTATGGATTAGGGTTTCTTCTCCGCCTTGATTTGATTATTTTCCATCATCAATAGTTGCATCACGTCAAACTTATCCTTGTCAAGTGCATCATCAAAATCATCTCCGCATGACGCATTATGCTCATCACTCTCCTACACGACTTGATCTAGATGTTTTCTTCATGTGATGTGAATCGCTCGCCATACTCGTAATGCAATCTTGTCGTCTCCTCCTTGCATGCAACTTGGTCGTCTTCTCCTTGTTTAACTCTGAAGAGTGCAAAACAAACAAGCTTGGAACTTCATAAGAGGGGAGAAAAGCTGAAAATGTCAGTATTAGATAGTCGGATTTGAAAGAATGGAATGACATGCTTGAAAGATGATGCCTCTTTTATAGAGGTCCATGGATTGGTTGATTTAGATACAAAACCAACATTGAGTCCCATACATGCAAAGATGGATTGTGCAAATGAGAAGATTAAGTGCAATTTTAATAATATTAAGAAAAGGTAATATTTTTAATCCTTCTCCCATTTAAAATTTGATCAATTATTTGCGTAATTATTTCTAATATAGCATAATTGGCATAGTTATGAACCTATTTTGAAAATCATTGATATGAGGTGAAATAATCAAGTTCACAACCTTTGCATGTAATCACCTATTACTTTAACTTGCACTTACATTGTGAACATAATTTTAGAAATGATGATCCCGAGGGGAAAGAGGAGTTATATATATATATATATATATATATATATATATATATATATATATATATATATATATATATATATATATGTGTGTGTGTGCGTGTGTGTGCGCGCGCGCGAGAAGATTGGTTAATGATACTGCAAAAAGGAAAAAAATTAATTTGAAACTTATTTACTTTCATTATGTTAAAAGACTTTTTACTAAGGAAAATGCAAAGGATTGTGGGAAAACTATGTTTTGTGGAGAATGGTGGGAGATGTTTGGGGATAGAACTCTAGAGTTGAAAGGGTTTGCTATTCAAATTTTGATCTTAATTTGTAGTTCTTCTAGATGTGAGTCCTATTGGAGATAATTTAAAATGATAATTCAAGTTTACCTAGTTGTTTAGGGTTATTGATTTTCTTTATTGGTTTATAGTTACTAAAAGTTCTTATTTAATTTTAAGTTTATACAAAAAGGAAGAAACCGTTTGCATAAGAAAAAGATGAACAATTTGATTTATGTGATGTATTGAGTATGATGATGAATGAATGAACAATAAACAAATTAGAAAAATTGTTGCTCCCATTTGATGGTATTGAGTCTGATGATGAATGAATAACTCAAGAGGAAGATAATATTGAGGTTGAGGAAGATAATATTGAGGTTGAGCAAGATCATGTCGAACGTGATAATGGAAATATTGACTTAGTTGAACCAAGTTATATGATTCAACTCTAGATGCATTTGATCTTGATAATATAGATTTTTAAGTCAATGTTGATGTACACTTTCATCATAAGAAGAGCTTGATGGTAATGAAGATGGCGGTGAAGATATTGAGGATTGGATGAAGGAGACATAAACTTGAAGACATTTGTGTTTTTTAGTTAACTTATCACTTTAAGAACTTATATTTTGTTGGTGTATTGTATGAACTTATTTTTTTTAGATGTAGCTTTAACTGATATAGTAGTCATCATGCACTACTAAACTTGTTGTTTACTATTTTGTTTAATTATAGTGTTCAAATGTTGAAGTGATATGTTATTTTGCACATGAAGCAGACTCTTATGTAGACTCTTGATTTTGATAATCTTGCTGGTTTTTCTTCAAGATGTTGATATAATTGCGATTTAATCAGGGATCTTTGATGAATTTATTTCTGCTGCTTGGTGTGAATTTTTCTTCTATGGTTTGTGATTCCCTGTTGAAGCTTAAATATTGATTAACGTACATATTTTTTAATTTTCACAACTTCCCAGGTGGATCACTTTTGGCTGCATTTGCTGACTCCTTCTCTCCTTTGTATTTTACGGTTAGACAACATAATGAAGTCATGTCAACAGAGCAGCCATGTGATTTAGCATATGAATTTGGAGATGGACTATATGATATCAAAGAGCTCCCATTAGGCTTTCCAAGACCAGGTAGAGGCTTATTTCTTTTGTAAAGAGATCATCTTTATATTTACTACTGTAAGAACACCTGTTATATTGTTTAAAATATTTATATTGACTTCAAGATGGTAAAATTTAACTTAAAATTTATGTGGTAGATGTTTGCATGGTGTATTCTTGTTGCATTATTTTGTAGTTATAATTGTACCTCTTCATTGATTTACCCTATAATACACTAGAGGCCAAGCTGAGTGACCATGTCATGGCCTGCCTCAATTTTATCTAATATTTAATTTGCTTTTTTTTTTTTTTTTGCAGTTAAGCATCCTTATCCTTTCAACGATCAAATTGTTGTGTATGTTCGCCATCTAGCACCTGGGGTCTCAGTAGGGCAAGCATGGCAAGAGGGGACTAAGTTAGAGCAAGTCCCACGAAAGTTATGCAGAGAGATTTTAATGGTCAAGGAGTACACGTCATTACGAGAAGATCAATGAAGAAAGTGGATACTCCTCCCTTAGATAAAGTTAAAAGGACTCTTTGGTTAACAGTGGTGCACATGTCAATTATGTGCTAGTAGACAAGTTTGTAAGGCATATACGAGGGAAATATGAATCATGTCCACGTTTGCAGTTTCTGTATAGACAAACTCATTATAGTTGAGAGAATAGTACGTTGGATGTGATGTTACATGTTTGGCTGTGAGATAGGGGGAAATGAGAAGTTACTGCCACATTCTCAGCAAAACAATGTTTAATATCCTCATTTAAACTCAAGCTTGAACTTCGTGGACATTAAATATTTAGGTTGAAATACCGTTTCTTTCTGTAACATCCAAGCATAGTACAACCTCACATGTGATGTCGAGTAGAAGAAACTTGCATTTCCCTTTCCTCAACAATAAAGTTCTAATTACGGATTACCGTACAATTTTTTATGTCTGTCTGGAGTAGAAATGAGCTAATATATGAATTAAAAACTCAGCTGATAGATGACTTTTGACTGTTTTACAAATTGTATCAAGAAACCTCGTGCAAACGTGATTCACATGAACCAGCAACTCAAACATATGGTGTAAAATTTTGCTTCTTGTCGTATCTTTTAAAGGTCAGAATTGTCGGTGGAGAGTGAGTGCATGGGACATTTGGAGTTAGAGGGAGAGGGACGCTGCTTTTGGCTATACGGGCCAATCGTGGTGTCAACTTTAAGAAGGGTCCAAAGATTGCACGATTATGGCAGCATTAGCAGTAAAATCCAAGGATAGTTTGGTATGGCACCATGGCTGTTCCACTGAATCCTCAATCACAAAAAGACAAGTTTCTTAAAGCATATTCTTACTATATTGAAGCTTTTTCCATGACCAATTTTCTATCAACCTTACTTTGGTATTATTATATGCCAATAAAGTATTGTAGGCCCAATATTTAGCACTGCATAAACGAAATCAACTTGTAATTTTTACTCTTTATTTTAGTATAACGAAGAAATATTGAGGAGTGTTTTACCAGGGTTCTATTTGTTTTAGATATTAAATATAATGAAAGTAAAAAAGTTGTTAAATAAGATTACTGTTTTTATGTTCTCTTAGGATCGAAATGACAAAAATTATAACTATTAGTTAAAACTCAACTCTTTCTAATTAAGAATAATAGTCAAAGCATCATGATTTAATTATGATTCGATCTGATTCCGTCACGGAACAATTGATGTTATCGGCAACAATTTTCTCTTTAGCCATTGTCTTAAAGATATCTCCCTCTTGGATTGTGATTCAGCACACACAATATCTGCCGGAGAGAATTGTGGAACCCGCAACACCTTCTTACCTTTGAATGTAATCCTCTTTGTTCCTCCTCTGAATATCATAAAATTGAGGTCTGCACTTTACTACAATTAGGTTGACGGAAGCACACGAGCACTGACCCCCCCTTCTCTATTACTGTATGCTTTGAGCATCGATTGTGATTCACGTGAGATAGGTGAAAACGGTCAACAGCACAGAACAAAAAGATGGTAACTAACTTCTTGTTTAATGTCCCGTCAAGAAACATCTTACACTGTTTTTCTATGACCTGTTCGTAATGAAAGAAATGTTTGCCTTCAGAGAGATCCAGATAAGTTTTTTCTCAAAAAGAAAAAATAAATAAATCTGACAGTTAGATACTCTTACTTCAGCTATAAGGATAGGATGCAATTTCACCTAATATTCATGCTTACTTTCATTTCCACATTGAAAAATGTTTGACCAAAAGAAAATTGCAAATCTTAAACAGCATTAAAACCTGAGACCAAGAAAGGATTCTTTACTTGAAATTGTTTTATATTTTTTTTTCTTGCATAAAAATGTTAAAAGAAGATAGGGAGGGGGTGATTAGTGTTTATTTATTTGCTTCCAAATAACAGCAGTAAGATCAAGCAAATGTGAAATGTACTTTTTATGTCAAAGTTGGAAAGATAAAAATAAAAGTACACTCATTTGTGTGGTAAAGTGGCCAGATCATGGAAACCCGTGGAACAATTTAAAATTTTATTGAGAGGAAAGATTTGTTCTTTTAAATTCGATTAGAATTTTGGCTGTAATCTCTTAGTAAAGTGCTAAAGAAAGAACATGTTTGTTTTGATGGATTCAGGACTTAAGTATTTCAAAAGCATAAGCAAAAGAAAAAAAAATGCTTTGTTGAGACAGCAGGGTCCACCAGCCTTGCTTGAGAGGTATGCGCACATGTGCCTTACAATTATTGAATTGGCAATTGACATGGGTCAAATGTGGGACTTCAGTATGCCCTAAAATATCTTTTTGGTTATGGTTAAAGCTTGACTTAAATAAATGGGTCCAAGTGGGACACTCACACGATTCTCATCCCTGGGCAAATCCAAGGCCCAAAATGCTTATTCAGAAAACATTCCTGCCGACACTATTTTCTTTTCTTTTACCATTCTAAACTACTCTTAGGGTTTAACTAAAAAAAAAAATGATATAGATACTAAATAGGCATCAGAGCATAATATGAATAATGGAATATAAACATAGTGCATATTTGGTAATAAGGTAAGTTGAACTCCCCATGATGTTTTGAAGTATAAAATATTTACTTTTGTGGTGATTTCACCATAGTTATGTATTCACCATGGTTTTCTGCCACCAAACCAGATACACTACACTAATGTCATGGAGTGAAATTCGGATCCAGAAACATATAAACCTTCGCATCTGAAGTGAGTAGGTATTTGTTGGGAGTTGTAAACACATCATTGTCATTCAACAGATACATACATATGAACCAAAAGTGATGTAAGCAACAGGGTTATCCTGACATAAAATGAATCAGCTCAACGTCACAGAAAATTGAAAAGGAAAGAAAATGAATGTATTGTGATAGACAACAATAGATGGACAAGTAAAGCCTGAAAAAAAAGAAAAAAAATCTATAAATGCCTACAAGAATAACACTTATTTATGATATGACCCACGGTGGCCTTCAGCATGTTACTGAGCCATATTCAGTCACCATGAATATAACTGCGAAAACCAACTTGTCTTGTAGCAATCCACATTGGTTGGCCTCTTTAATTATTGAACTTTGTAACAATCAATTTTCTATTTTACACATCCTTTCTGATCCTCTTAGTTCATCTGTTCGCCAATTAAATCCAGACCTACAAGGAGGAATGAAACACCTTGAAATAGTAAATAGTAGAAGTGTATGCCTTGTGCTGATAACAAGCTCCTAAATGCAGCAGTCAGCAGTAAGAATGCAAGAGCAAGCTCTTTCTTATATATCTTGTTCATTTTCTTTACAGCGGGTGTAGGAACTGTTTCTTGGCATTCCTTTATTTTGTTAAGGTCAGAAAGTCCACTATCAGAAGTCCCTCTGTGAAGTTGGAGACTCATGGCCTTTGAATCCCTTTCTTCAGCAGCTAATAGGTCAGGCTCTGATGACCGACCGGCTTTTTTGGTAACAATCCATTCATATGAACTTCCCAACTGGAACAAACCGGACACCATGGCATTGAATTTGGTTACTGACATTGTGTTCTCAAAAAGGAGGTAAGGAACAATGAAGGGAAAGGATTTTGGGGCAGGAAGAATGTTCAAGAAAGACAAGAAAACAGGAATGTAACAAATAACCCAGATAGGAAGCTCAGCCTCTGGGACAAACATTGTCAAAGGAAGAATAATGCAGAATAATGTGAAAGAATAGAATGGGAGGATTAGCTTTCTAAGTAGAAAGAACAGAAATATTAGGTTGGTTTTCTTCCAGAACGCAATCTGCAATATTATGAAATCAGAACATGTTTAGATTGTATTTTACGACAATACAGTGTATAGACAATAAAAGGAAGTTCATCACCTTTGAGGTTATAATCGCTGGAAGGCACAAACGAAAAAGTTGCATAGGACCAGAATGCCATCGATGTTGTTGTTTCCTATATGCTTCATATGATTCAGGAAGCTCACAAAGCACCTGAAAGAAGTTTCTTTAGACTAACTGCAACCTGAATTGTTCACATAAACAGTTTTTCATGGGTATTTCAACCCAACATTCAGTGAATATTGCTGCAGATAATTATTTCATCCAGTTCAAGTCCATATTACCTTTCCAAATCAATAAATAAGTACAAATTGATACAAACTGAGTGCATTAGCTTTGATTAAAACCCAAAAAGAAAAAAGAAGTAAAACAAAACATAACATGTCTTCTACTGTAACAAAACGGTTACCTTAACATCATTGAGAAAGATAAATTTCCAACCATTCAGATGGGCTCGGACTGCTATATCCATGTCTTCTACTGTTGTCCGCTCAAGCCAGCCACCAGATTCTTCTAGTGCTTTTATTCTCCAAACACCAGCAGTTCCATTAAAACCAAAAAAATTAAGGAAGACCCCATTAACCTGTTGTTCAACCTCAAAGTGGAAGCACAGATTAATATTTTGGAGTCGTGTTAGTAAGTTCTCATCCTTGTTTACAAAGGCCCACCTAGCCTGCACCAATGCCAGCTCAGGATTGCCCTGCAGAACACAGACTCTAAAGAACCAACATGGGAAAATAAAGCATAGATAGATTGTTGGAATAACAAGAAAGAAAAAAATAAAGGAACAATTTAGCCACCTTAAAATGTGGAACAGTTTGCTTGAGGAAATCTGGATTTGGTTGGAAATCAGCATCGAAAATAGCAACGAACTCGTAATCCTTGATGTAATCACAGCTCATTGCAGACTTGAGATTACCCGCTTTGTAACCAGTTCTAAACTTCCTATGACGGTAGATTATATTCACACCTCTTTGGCTCCACTTAGAGACTTCTCCCTTGATTAACCACTGTATGCTCTCATCATCAGAATCATCAAGAACTTGAACAAGCAACCGATCTTTTGGCCAATCAAGTTGGCTCACAGCTGAAATCGATTGCTCATATACCTACATGCACTTAATGCCAAACTCATCAACATCATTATTATGAGGAAGAGTAACCATCCAACAAATCAACACACTAGTCTCCCTTTCAAATAAATAATGGAAACGGAACAATATCATTATTTTGGTTATTATAATTCTACATAGCAAACTTAATGATGAGAATAAGAGAAGAAAAATTAAGGTGGGGTGAATTATCATCATCATAATAGTCTGTTAAAAGGAACCACTTCATGATTAATTCGTTTTGGCACCGACAGTTTTTTTTTTTTTTTCTTAAAAGAAAAAGCACCCAGCTCTAATTACATAGGATTAAGAAAAGGGTGTCACCTCTTTCTCATTGCACATGGGAATTTGAACGAGTACCATAGGATATCCCTGGTTGGATCCTTCCAAATCGTGTGTGTTGAGAGGGTCCCCATCAACGACAGGCTTAATCTTCCTAAATTTGATCCAGAAACAACCAAGGCAAAGAAGTATTCGATCCACAGACTGAATTAAGAAGAGAAGAATGCAGAAGGTTGAGAGAGTTTGCATTGGGGGAGCAACATAGTCTGCTCGAAACTCCAACCACTTTACATAGGCAGTGTGAAACCATCCTGTGATCTCCGAAGTTTGTGGAAGGTGCATGTTATGGTTGTGGAAGTAGTGCCACCCTTTGAAGTGAGCAACCAGTTCGAAGGACAAGAATGCCAAAGCCATCACCAAGAAAGTGAGAATCACTCGAAACAAAAACTTTGCCTTTGCAGACATCTCAGTCTCCACGTTCCCCAAGAACAATCTTTTCTTAACAGCATGGAGCAATGAACAAACAGAATTTCCAAGCCAAGCAAGGCCACCGACAACTCTATGCGCCTTCAGAAAGAGAAGCCATGTGAACTGCTTTGCATTCTTACCTCTCTCTTTGTCAAGTGGCTGAAATGCTGAGTCCGGGGCATCTATTTCAACCACTGAGTAATTGGGGTTCTCCATGGTCACCACAACCGGGTTCCCTTTCCTTGAACTTGAACTCCAACTCCCCTTAACCCACCACTTTGAGAAATTTATGGTTCCACTTGGACCCATTTGCTTACTGAATAGCACAAACAACAAGAACCAACTTTCCACAAACAGTAACACTCGCAAGCTTTCAAAACTCACTAGAGTGAAGTGTTACCACTTAGCACCACACCCGAGAAACTTGAAAAATCCATTGAAGTTCTAGAAAGCACAGTTAAAGGAAGGACAAGTCACAAACTTATTTGAGTTTTGTTGTGTCAGATCAACGAGTTTAGAATCCTACGAGTTGAGTTGTTTGGTCTGAATGCAGGAGGAAAGGAGTGGGAAAAGGTGTAGAGAAGCACAGTGAGTGAAAATATTTATGTTGCTCTTTTATTGGAGTTCGAAAATACCAAGATGCGTTAGTCTAAGGCTTACTTACACTTACAATGTTGAAGACGAACGTAATCCATGTGGACATGATTCATTTAATCGACGAGTTACTGCAACTATAAAACCATACAAACAAACAAAAACTTGACTAACTCTCCACTGCTACCATGGGTCAGAGGCAAGTCACCCTTGGTCAAGAATAGTGACCATTTTGTAGTCCATCAATTATACACTTCAAGGAAGAAGAAAACCATTATTCAAAAAGAAATGTGTGTCAAGATGCTTAACCGAGTTTTTCTCACTTCTGAAAACTAATTACCGATTACAATATCATGATAATATCTTCAATAAAATTAACAGTGTAATTGTTCATAACAGACAACAGGAGTTTAAGAAGAATATCTCCATAATTTATAATCATGAATTCACTCTATTTATTTTCTATTTCTTTGTTACTAGAATAATTGGAGGAAATTAGTAGGTGTCCTGATCCACGACATAAGGAAGAAAAATCTCGATAAAACAAACCCTAAACCCTAAATATTTAAATTATATATGAAAAGATAACTTTGAGATTTGATTATACTTATAATTAATTGTGAAATAATTTTATATTTAATATATTAGGAAAAATAAAATTTAAATTAATTATTTTTATTGACATAGAGTAAGGAAACGCGTTATAGTAAGATTTAAAAAAAATCCCTTCCAATAATTTATTTTTTGTTTAAACATTGAACTATTATTTAAAAAATAATTCTTATAATTCTCTGCCGAACCAAATTAATAAAAAATAAACCTAAGGATACTGATAAACCATGAACATAAAAAAAAAAAAACTTTTAATATCATTATATCAAAGCCTGAACTATTATTTTTTTTTAATAAGGAAGGACTACACATCAAAGTCTAAAATTAAAATATAAATACAAAGAAGCAAACAAATTATGAAGAAAGAAAAGTATCGTCAGCATTAGACATCAAAGTAAGGTAATATG